GCAACTGACATTCTTCTTTCACTTTTCTTTTTGTTTGTGAAATTTTCTCCTTTTTTTTATCCACTCACTTCTCCATCTGCTTTCACTTTTGTTTGCTTGGGCCGTCTCTCATCCCAACTTGATAATGAGGAATGCGGTGTGACCCTGACCTCTATCAGCCCATGCATGACCTTCTGACTCCCCCACATAACCTTTGACCTTCTCTTTGACAGCTTGATTAATTACCCTGTGTTATGATTTATGAGTAAGTGCTATGTAAAAATAATAGACAACAGGTGGTCCTCTAAAAACTTTTTGTGGCATGTTTTCTTTTCCTGCCTAACTTGATGAGCTATTTTAAGTTGGGAACTTAGTGGGACAGTTGTGTGTTTGGCAGTAACACGGCATTTTTACACACTTGGACACAGTGCTGGAATTCAGGCAGCCGAGGTGTAGCTGGGATTGAAATATCGCAAAGTATTAGCAGGGTGCAGTTGCCAAAATGTACGTTTGGTGGAAACAGAAAGTGGAGTCAACTGACATTTCAGGCGTTTCAGTCTCAGGTCACGTCTTGAGAAAATTGCTCAAATAATGGAGGGGGCATTTTTCAAGCTGAGCTGCATCTCCAACAGCTATGTTTACTTTAACGCTTCACTAGTGACTTCTGATTGGTTGTCATGACCTCATCCCACTGTTGCACCTACGATGTTGCAGCAGTGACATAGATGTACCCTTCTTGTGGAAAAGATGGGAAATGAACAGAACATACATCTTTCAGAAAGATGAATGGACATTGCTGTGTCTGGTTTAACTGTGGGCAGGTTTAAGAGCTGAGCACTTTCAGTTGCATTTACCCTGGGAATTAACTCCAGTCTTGTTGCCAACGATCCAAATAGAAAACCTGAACTTGAAAATTTAGGTTGATAAAGCTTAGGAAAATGATCTCTTTCAGACCCTTGCTCACAGTCCAAAAAGATAGTTACATAGGTCAAAAGATTCCTCTCCAGCCCTGACCTCTCTGGTCACATATGGTGTCCCATCTTGGTGGATTAACATGCAGAGCTGAATGCTTTCAGCTCATTATTCATGTGGCCAGGCAGGAAGGATTTCAAAAGATTTGGAATTCACTTCAAATACTTTGGGGTTCTTTTTTTTAACCTTACTCTTGCTGTCAGAGGCAATAATTTTGGTATTCCTTCTGTTTCAAACATCTCGCTTGAACTTCCAGTAAGAGGCAGAAAACACTGCTCCATTTCTGGCTGATACATTACCATGGAAAAGGCCCTCTACATTGTTCTGGCTTTGTAGTAAAGGTATTGTAACCAAGATTCATGATTCTTTACAACATTTGACTTTGTCAGCCTGCTTTTCTTTTCGCCATCATTTGCTGGCTCAATCATAAGTATTAATTGTATTTGTATTTATGAATCTGAAAGTGGAGCTTGCACACAGTCCTCCACCTCCAGAAGTAGTTACCTGGAGGATGCTAGTAGTTAGTGCAGATTACATTTTACTTACCTTGAAGCATTAGAATTTGGGGAAATAGCTGTTAATTGGGTGTTTTAGTCTGAGAGAGAAACTGTAATTGTAGCCACTGGACTCAGATTAGAGGCTGGGACTTGTATTTATCAGTGTCTGTCCCGAGTATTGCATCTCATCACAGATACACTGGTGGGGGATGCAGGCAGACCTTGGCTTCTGTGCAACATCTGTATTCTCTCAGAGATGTGGTAGAGCACAGGGCTTGGCTTGTTTCAGTCAGCTGAAGACTGGGGGGGGGCGTTGTCCCAAAGTTTAGCTTTTTACCTGAAAAAACCTGCCGCTTTAGAGAGTGGTTTCTCTTTCTGTGTGCATTGGACACACAAGAGAAAACTACTCCACTATCACATACGTTGAAAGCACACCTGATGTTTACTGATGGTGGCAAGCTTTAAAAACTCTCCTGGATGATGGTACTTACTTACTTCATAGGTCACTGCGTTTTAATAATGCTGTAAGCTCATCATAGCTGAAACTGGTATTTTTAATGACATTGGGAGGTATATACTTTTGAACACGTCTTTCATTTTAAAAGATACTTTGTAATGAATGTGGTTTTGTCTTTGCTTAACAGTCATGCCAAAGACACTGTGTCTTGCCTATTATTAAAGTTTGCTAAGGCCTTTTTTTATATATTAGTGGTCTGGTGCGCTTAGTTTTGCATTGACTTGCACTCTGCCCAACCCCACTGCGTTAGTGAGGAGTTCCGCCTTTTTTTTTTTTTAATATTCTGATTGCACTGAACTTTAATGGTGCAGCTATGCCCACATGAAATACCTTTTTTTAAAATTAATTAAACTTAAAAGCCACATTGTTTACATAGATGTTACTTAGAGCTGAGCATTCCTTTTCAGTAGAAAATGCTTGGGCTGAGGCTGAATGAGAGAGGTTGTAATTGGGTACAATTTTATCGCTCATTTTGTTTTTCCATGTTGCTTTATACATGTTATCTCAAATCTTCTTTCTGGTGCCATTATTTACATCTTGCAATTTAGAATGCAGAATTACAAGGGAAAGGGAAATACACTACATCACGTAAGCAAAACAATCTGAAAAAATATTACTTTCCTGAGAGAAAGTCTTACGAATTGTAAGATTTTTTTTTTTTCCCCTTCAATTATGGGAAAACCTGTCTCAGCTATTACTTAATTATTTTAATTGTACTGATAGGAAAGTCCTGCTATCTTGGAGAAATTTTAAAAAAATGTAAAGGGAGACATGTTACACTGCTTAAAATACAATTGATAAAAATCCTTTAATTGATTTATGAAATAGTGAATTTAAAAATGGAATCATATTTCATCCGTTGATGTCTATGTGAAAAATTGACATTGTGTCCTCATAAAATTGGACAAATGAGTCATGTAATTTTCAGTTACATAATCAATAACGTAGACAAATTCTACTTCTTTGATGATTTATGTATCTGTTTTGTGGTCAGCTTAAAGTGGACACAGAGTTTCACATCCCTGTAACACTTGTAGACCTGTAATAAACACATGAATTTTGCATTTGGCATTGTATAGAAAGCAAAACTAATCAATATGCAGAACGTCTCTGCTCAACAAACAAGCTGGTCTAGAAGATGAACGGCAGAGACAGACCCAAAACCACCAGCCTGCCAAGTACTGCAAAAAGTTGGTCCTACTCTGCCACTAGCGAGCTCAAAAACCATCCTTTCATCTGAGGCATGTCATTTAAAAATGTTTGTAAGTGTTATTCTCCCCTGCGATGGATTTTGGGCTTTGAATTTTCCAAGTTGGAGATTTTATGTACTGTGAGCTGTGTTATGTCTGTTAACATGACCCGCAATGGTGTGGCTAGATTTTAAACTTTGTCTTCTTTAATTTTCCATTTTCCTTTGCCCTTCCCCCTTTGTTTATTCATTTATTTGCCTGTTTGTTTGTATTTATCCCAGTTCAATTCACACAGCGGGGAGGGCAGGGGAGCGACATGACAGGAGACCACTTACTCACGGCGCCGTGTCTAGTGAGGAGGCAATTTTCTCTTTGGCCTATGGTGACCTTTTTTGACTATGTCCCTTATGCCAGAGACAGTGTCCTGAATGCCTCTATTTCACCCTGTTTAGCAGAGTGCAACCGTGCCCTTTAACTTGGTTTTTGGTGGGAGGAGAAGCTACGGCAGACATTTGAGAAGGGCACAAGGACGAGGGGTAGGAACTCCCTTCAGATGCGATTTTGATAACTAGTCGAGTGTGTCCAACTGTAGAAAATCACCAAGTGACAATCTGTCTACCTGACAGTGGCCACAATGCGCTACAAGGTTTGTGAATGGCTCTACAGATTAGAATAAAGCAAGCCCAAATAAAGTATCTTTTGTTGGTGTGGGCTTGCTTTGCTCTGGCCAGCTAGGTGTGGGGACCTCTTTGATCCTCATGCCTAGCCCAAGTGCAAAACGAAGCACCAACTGAAAAGCTGGAATAAAGCTGTTCAGTTAGATAATTAATATAGACGTTTCCAAAAAGTAAGTCTTTATTAAAATTTACTTTTAAAGGACAGCTTGATTTTGACTGGGAACCCATGGTAACTTTAAGGACTCATCTGTTAAATGCACGTGCTTCTCTTTTCTCCCTGTGTGTGCGATTATATCTTCCACGAATATTACAATTCTTGTGTGATTTGCCATCATTTAAAATCATAATAAAATGATTGGCTGATTTATTCAAGCTTTATTTCTCATTCATAAATTCATGTATTTTTCAACCAGCTCATTTTCTGAGGCACAAAAATGCAGCTGGTATGCTCAAAAGCATCCTGCAGGTCACAAATTTTCTCTGGGTTTGTTGAATTCAGGAGATAATCCCAGTGAAGTTTTAGAGCACATTTACAGAGGTACTTAAAAGTCATCCCCACAGCAGAAGAGTTGACTTGTAAGCAATACCACTGAATCAGTTTTGGTATTGATTCACTGTTACTGCTGCTATTGGCTTCTGCATGGTATGCTTGTTGTCAGCTAGACAAAAGGTTTTACTGTTTTAAACTGTGGTGAATAATTTTCACATGCTTTCTTTAGTATACATATAGATTAAATCCCTCCATCCTTTTTGTTTTAAAGGTTTTTATTGGCTGAGTACAAAGTCTTGTATTCATCATTATGTAGAGTTCTTAAAATAATATTTTGCTTTTAGTTCTCGTACTGTTTTCTGAAAAAGTTGTATAAAGTGCTTATGAATAAAATAACAAATTACTTTAAAGGTAAAACAGGCAACTTTTCTAACACTGAGGCATGTACATGAGCATAAGTGCATGCACAGACACATATTCAGACATCAATATCTCTTTAATGACAGATATGAAACAAACTAAATATTCTTAAAATACCCTCCTATAAATTCTGTTGTGTGAACTTACTGAAATAAATATAAAAGCTTAAGAGCATTGAAGTAAATGCAAAGCATTTTCAAGCATTACATCTCCCTTTTCATATTTCTTCTTTCTGTGTGTGTGTCTCTTCTAAAACAGGAGGGCTATGGAGTAATAGTATTGAATCCCAATGAGAACTATATTGAAGTGGAGAAGACAAAAGCCCAAGTACAGCTGTCTTCTGATAGCTCAGATGAACCTGCAGAAAAGAGGGAAAGAAAAGACAAAATCCAGAAGGAAACAAAGAAGCGACGTGACTTCTATGAAAAGTATCGAAATCCACAAAAAGAAAAAGAAACTATGCAGATGTATATTAGAGTAAGTTTCTTCTAGTTTTGTTTGCCCTTCTTTAATGATGTCTAGATATGTTTACTGTCCATATTGGCTAATAAACAGTATGCTTTTTTAAAAACAAACACATCATTGAGATGGTATTCAAGAGTTCATACAGAGTTCCTGGCTCTTTATTCTATTGGTATTTTTTGTCACTTATTGAATGTGAAGTTTTGGAAGAGCTACAAAACATTCCTTTCTAATTTCAAAGGGGAACTTCAAATAAACCCCAGAGGAACTCACTGGTGCTATCAAGGAAGAGAATGATTTAAGTAAGACTTTGTAAAAATGATTTTATAAACAGAGGTGTACATAAGAAACACTTTCTAGTACAGCTTAGTCAACATATTACCTTCACATGTCATGCGTGCATTTATTGTATTATATTGTCTTATATTGGGGAGGCAGTAGTTATAACCTGATAGTTTTTTAACGTATTACCTGCTGAATTAATAATGTATTGTGGAAAATACTGGTGTTCATCTTGTGTGGTAGCAGATTTACCCTGTAATGTATTGTTTTCATATGAGCAGCCATCCATTGTGTTTCAACTGAACTTCTGAAGGCAGATAAAGGAGGAGAGTTATTAATATCTTAATAAATATTTAAGCTAGAATAGTTCGAGAATGGTGTAATGAGGAAACTCTGTCCCTTGCTCTTTTCTTACTCAGTGAACCTTTGCACTTTGTAATGCTACCAGCATGGGATCGTTATAACAGTGCTACCCGAGGATTTCTAATTCTGCAGGGGGCACAAACAATATTATTTGCACTTTGACACATTCTGCTTCATATACATACTATGCATTATACATTTGAGACTGAGTCACGCAATTTCCAAAGCCTTTATTATGAAAGTTAGCATTTTCATTCAACAGTAAAACGTGTCAAAAACGCCACAGTGTAGTTAAAACAGTAAAAATGTATATGCTTTTCTAGTGCCAAAGAGAGAAAAATCCAGCAAAAGGGATGTTAGAATCATCTTAAATTTTACCAAGTTCCTATTAATTGTGGTTTAGCATAACAGTGTTTGTAGGAGAAATACAGCTGTACTGGCTAGTTGAAAGGGTTCGTAACCTGGATGTGAGTTTGTCCTAATACCATAAATTCTACTGTGTCTTTTGAGAAGTACCTTGCTACTGAGTATGGGAAACAAAAGGATGCATATACATATTCATAGTCACCAACAGGGCACTGCTTTTTCTATCTGCTGCTTTTTATGTGAGATGCCATTCTGCCCACCAGCCAGACCCTGCTTCTAAAGAGGGGCAACCAGGCTTGTCTCAAGGTCCATCCGAAGCCAGTGGACGATGTTGCTGTATTGTCCAGAAAGGTGTGCAGTCAGCATGTTGGTCCAATGCCCCCTTGTTGAAAGTGAACCTTTTTTTGATGCCTTTTTAGCAGTTCCACCTTCTTGTGGCTCTTTTGCTTGATGAGGCATGAAATTTGGCTTCAGAAGGTTTGACCCCCCAAAATATAAAATGCATGACTCTATCCTGTTTTCTTTTTTGCGTGGCTCTGTGCCTCAGTATGACTGTTGACATGCCCTTTATTTTAATTTCTTCAAACCATGGAAGGAAGTAGCATAAGTTTTAGTGAAATTGTGCGTGGTGGCCTCCTTTCCTGGGTGAATTATCTGAAATCGGGTTTTCTGATGAGGTCAGTGTTTTATTCTGAAAGAGTTCTTTGGGTTTTTTCTTTAATAGGCTCTAACACACAGAGGTTTTTGAAACAGAATGAAAAATATCCCTGCTTTGGTGTGTGTGGCAGGATAAATTACTGCCGTTTACTTGCCTATTGGCAGGGGG